TATATTTGATATATTTAAGCTGTTAGGGATCTACACTCTAGAATCAGTCCTTTTTAAGTATAAAATGCTATGAATGTATTTATAAAAATGCCTAAAGTGAGGGGCTGAGGATTTATAGCTCAGCGGCACAGCACCTGCCTGGCAAGCGCAAGGTCGTGAGTTCAATTCCCGGTACCAGAAAAAAACAAACAAACAAAAAAAAAAGACAGAAAAATGCCTAAAATGTAAAAATAAAATAAAACAGAAAATTGAGGTCTGGAGCCACAGGAATGCCAAGGATCACCAGAGATCCACAGCCAGTTCGCTTCTGTGGCCTCTTGGAGACCTCTTTGGGGAAACCAAAGCAACTCATAGGATTGGGGCCTGGGACGTAGCTCAAAAGCTTTGCTGACCAGGGCTTCTCCATCAGCCCCCGCCACCCCCCCCCCCAGCCTATTCTGGGCAATAAGCCAAAGGCACATTCCTCAGGCCCCCACAGACTTCCGGAGCTGCCAGAGTGAGGAGTTTGAGGAAAGGGCTGAGCAAAGCAGAAACCTAAGAGAGGGGGCAAAAGGCAAATAAGAAACAACCACAGCAGGAGGTCTATCATGACTCAAGGGGAAACTGAGGCCCAAAGATGGCAAAGGTCTCATCCAAGCCCACCCAGTGAAGGCACAGTGGAGAATCCCACCTTAGGACAGAAGCTTAGCTGTCACTTCCCCAGTCCCTGCTCCTCGCTTTACCTGAGTCATTCACCATATGGCACATCCTGCCGTGTACCTTTGGTCCTGTTTACAACAACCCAGAAAGGCAGGAGTTATTTCCCCATTTTATCTACAAGGAAATTAAATTAAGCCTCAGGGAAAGGAAGTGATTTGTCCAAGGCCCCAATGGTAGAGTGAGAGAAGAAGGGAAATTAGGTCTGCTTAGCTCCTTACAGGCTCTCCCTCCCCACTGACACACTGTCTCCAGGCAGGTCCCAAAGTTCTGTTTCCATTTTCATTCCAGCCCCAAGACCTGACTGGGGACACTTGACACCTGGGGAAGCAGGGAAGAAGTTAAACACACGCCTGGCCTGACCCTCTCGGCCCCAGTGCTTACCCTCCAGCACTACCTCCTTGCCTGTCTTCTTGAGGGCTTGCACCGCCTCGTCATGGGAGGCAGAGGACAGGTCTTCACCATTCACAGACAGGATAGCATCCCCCACAAAGAGGGCCTCTGTCTGGTCAGCTGCCAACCCCTTGAAGATCTTGGAAATGAGAATGGGCATCTTGTTCTCTCGGCCCCCTGCAAAGACAGAAGGAAGGCAAACCTGAGACAGACACTTCAGTGCTTGGGAATCATATCAGGGTGAAAGCACAGAGGGGCCCTCAGCACCTAGCCCAGTAGTGGGAAAAGGGAGAGAGGAAAGTAAAAAGAATCTCAGAAAAGTGTTAGAAGTTTGGGATATCAGTAGTACTGATAACACATACTTTAAAAATTCATAAATGCTTTGGGTATAGTTTGGTTAAATACTTTGGAGGTTCACCAGTGTTCAAGTAACTTATAAAGTGCTTCAGTAGTTTTTTTTCTTAAATATTTTAGTCTTAAGTAATTTTCCCACAATGTGGGAACCCTTTGATACCTCCTAATCTGAAATTAAGATAGAATCTGAATTAAGATATTGCCCCCAAGGATCTTTTCAGCAATCATAAGCTTTTGCAATCCAGGATCCAAGTCGGAAGCCAAGGCCTTAAATTCTAGAGATTTCAAAAGCCCATCTCTGTCTGATGTAAACAAAACTGACATATTTTACTTTTTTCCCCCTTTTTTCACAGTGCTGGGGTCCAAACCTAGGGCCTGGCACTCCTTAGCCAAGGAAGGACTCTACTAACGAGCCACACTTTCAGCCCACAATTTATATTTCACTGCTACACTTTTATTGTTTTTGCTGCTCCTCTTCTGTCTCCTCCTTCTCCTCCTCTTCTTTTTCCCCCTCCTCCTTTTATTTTGTGGTAGTGGTCCTGGGGATGGACCTAGGAGTGCTTTACCACTGACAATACATCCTCATTCCATTTTATATTTTGAGACATCCTCCTCCCGGGGCCTTCTAAGTAGCTGGAATTACAGGCATGCACCACTGTGCCCAACTTGTTAGTATTATTTATTTTTAAAAGTATGTAAGGGCCAGATGTGGTGGTGCATGCTTGTAATTCCAGCACTCAGGAGGCTGAGGCAGGAGGATCATTGCAAGCTTGAGGACAACCTAGGCTACATAGTGAGTTTGAGGCCAACCTAGCCTACATAGTGAGACCATGACTCAAAAAAAGAAAAAAAAAAGGCATTTAAGCTAGCAGGGCCCTGAGATACCAGAAAAGGAATAGTAATGATAGTTCATATTAGTTCCACCTAGTTCCATATATCAAGTGCTGTGCGAAATGCTTTCAGTGTTGTCTCATTACACCTCACAACACCCCGTCGCCCTCTCATTGTACAGACAAGCCTCTTGCCCAAGGTCACTCAGCTAGTAAGTAGTAAGCCAGTATTTGAACCTAGGCCTCCTGGTTCCCAAACCAATACACTTAGCTCTATGTAGACTGCACAGGCCCTCAGATTTCATACTCCCGATTCATTTACAGAGTACCAAAGATGAGAAAATATGCCTCAAAGCAGGAGGCTATTGTTCCGAGGTCACAGAAGGTGGTGGCAGAGGTGGGACTGGAATACTTCTCCTGACCCCCGCACAGGCCCAACAGTTTGCTCCTGGCCCTGCACAGAGCTTGAAGCCCAGGAGAAGGGGTTCCTATTTGTATCTGTCCCCCTCCCCCTAAAACTAGGGACTTCAGTTTAATTTGAAGCTATGATCATTCATAGATGCTCTGGACTCTGCTGGACCCTAATATAGGGAGGTTGCCATAGAAACAGGAGCCCAGTCTTCAAGCACAAGAAATCGGGTGGAGCTAGTATTTTGCCTGAAATCTCCCAAAAGTATCCTCACACCTATCTGGAAGTATGGAGCTAGGCAGCAACACTGTGTGACCTTGGCAAGGCCATGCTCCTCTGGAAATCAGTTTGTCCATCAGCAAAATGGAATTCTCTATAAACTCTACACTCTTCCCTGTTCTGACACATCCAGTGTACAACTGTTTGACTGGTCTATCTATTGCTCTAGATCTACTAGAGTTTATGGGTAAGACTGGACCCACTCCCTGGTTTCTCTACTTCCCCCTTTGAGACTTGTAGGTTAACTACCTGGGTATTTATCTTTCCCCAGGAAAAACTACTTCCCTGGGGACATGGAACAGTGGCCTGATAATTAAGGTTCAAATCCCAGCTTTACCACTTATTGACCATGTGGGGTTTTTTTGGAGAGGGTGTAGTCTGGGAATCTAACTCACGATCTCATACTTTCCAGGGCAGGCACTACACCACTGAACTAAAACCCTAGTCGCTGACCATGTAACCCTTGAAAAACTGTTCAACTTGTTCTGTTGTTGTTGTTTTGAGATAGTATTGTCATGTAGTTTAGGCTGGCCTTGAACTCACTACATGACCTAGGCTGGCCTCCAACTCAAAGCAATCCTCCTGCCTCAGCCTCCAGAGTGCTGGGCACCACCACCACTGCCTGAAAATCATTTAACTTAGTCTGAGTCCATTTCTACACCATAAAAATACTGCTTATACTCACTGCTTTTCACCACTTGTTGCCAGAATGAAGTGGCTCATGAGCCAATTGTAGTGAGCACACCTGGCACACAGTGGTGGCATTCACCATCATCTCCACCCCATCACCCAGGCCAGAGGGTCTGGAGGCCCCAGTGAACAGAGCCAGCAGGGAGACCTGGGAAAGGACAGTACACAGGCAGGATGATAAAAAGGTTGACATCCTTTCCCATGGCATTCTGCTGGGGCCTGAACCCCTGACAGGCAGATGAGGAGGAATGGTGAACCCAGCAGCTGGGGGCATACAGGATTTTCAGCACCATGATTAATTGCTTTGGGAGCCTCTCCTGGCCTCCATTTCCTCTCATCTTACAGCAGTAATTAACCAAGCACCTACTACGTTGTGGCAAGGTAAGTCCTGCTCTCATAGAAACATCACAAGTCCATCACAATCTTCAGTATACAGGTCAGAAAATACTCAGTGATGGGAAATGACTTGTCCAAGTTCACATGGGGATCCTAGACTCAGCTTGGTTGCACCCTAAAGCTTGTCGGCCTTGAGAGCTCTCAAGGAGGAAGGAATGATAATTCTGGCTCCAGCCACTCCATCGAGTGCAAGGTGGTCGGAACAGGAGACTCAAACCTAGGTGTCACAGCAACTCATCCAGGTAGAGAACCTTCCTAGGGCCTTAGGTATCCAAGTCCTTGCTGGCCCCTGTCCATGACTTCACCTGTGCCTCCCACATCTTCTATCCACCCCTGCGCTTCCCAGACTCCGGGCTTTGGCTCCACTCCTGCACACCGGGTATGTCTCAGGGACTTCTCCTCCTACGCTGCTAGGGTCCCAGGCCTCAAGCCTCTTCCTCCCTGGCCTGCTATTCTAATTAGGACCCCTCTTGTCCTTGATGCCCACGCCGGTTGCCCCGTCACATTATGCCTCCACACAGAACTCACCGCCCCTGTGTCCTTTTGAGCCCCTGGTCTCTTCACACTTGCGCCTTCCGTGGCTCCCTCCAACTCCTAAAAACCTCTCCGACCTTGGTGGTCCAAAAGCCCTGGCTTTCCCCTGTCTCCTTGGAACCCTTTTGGACCCACACAGAAGGCCTCCAACTCTGTCCGTTGCCAGCCCCGCGACCCCTGCACCCTCGGCGGCCCCACAGACACGAGGACCCGGTGCCCCTGGTGCCCCCCGTGTCCCGCGCCCACCTTTGATGCTGATGCCCAGCCCGCCGGCGTCCGCCTTGCGCACCGTCACGCGGCGCCGCTGGAGCAGCAGTGCCTCGGGCAGCTGCGGGGGCGCCGCGCCCGGCTCGGTGGCGCC